CCATTGGACTGGGAGGGAAGGGGCGAGGCCGCGCTAGCGATCCGGGAGCCTGTTGGCTGAGCGCCCTGTCGCTCTGGGGCTGCAGCTGTCCTGGCTCCCCGCCCCCAGGGCTGCGCCAAGTCTGAGCTACTTGGGCATCTGGGCATCTCGTGACCCCGCGGTTTTCTGGGTCTCCCACGGCTCTCCCAACCCATGGGGTAGTCCTCGGGAGATCGCAACAGTCCTTGAGACTATACCTACTCTGGTGCTCTCCCTGTAAGGCTACAGGGACGTGCGCACCTCTGACCCGCCTCCTTTAGGCTGTCCTGGTCTTCCCCTTTCCTATCCAACCAAGCCTAACCTCAGGCCCTAGCCACCCTCCATCCTGGACCTCCATTCCTTTGATTTATCATCTCCCCGCAGACCAGTCAGCTTCTGGCCTCCAACCCCATCCATACTGCAGTCCTGACTCGTTATGTCCCTGCATCAGGAGGTACCCCAGGCCCTGGACCAGGCAGTTCAGCCCTACCCGGGCCACTGTAGCCTTTGATTTTGCCAGGTTTTCCATAGACCTAGGCCCCAAGGATGAAAGGCTTAAGCTGCTGGGTGAATAGGACAGAGGCATTCCTCTGTTAGGGCTCCCATTCCCCATTGGCCTCTGGGCTGTTCCCAGGGCCTGAGCATTGCAAAAGTGAAGTGTCAAAGGCCGGGAGGCCCAGGGCCTGCCCCAAGTGACGTATACCACGACAAGGATGACAGCTACATTAAGGTTAATGCTAACGTGCTAAGAGCTCTAAACCCAGTGTCACAGGCCACAGTTCTCATTCATTCTACTTGACAGATAGGAACAATGAGACTCAGTTACTTCATTCAGTTGAAATTTTAAAAAGGTGGCAGGATGAGGATTTAGCTCAGTCATGCTGTTGCCTGCCTCTCAAGTGCAAGTTCCGGAGTTCAATCCTCAGTACCAATAGATAAATTAATTAGTAAACATTACAATAAAAAGGTGGTAAGTGGCACTGGCTGGATTAGCTTCACAGACTGGATTAAAGACATAGGTGCCCTGATCCTGACCATAAGGGCTGATTCCCAGCAGAAAACTGGAGCCTAGAGGAGTGAAAGCAAGAGTCTCATCCAGAGCTGCCAAGAGGGACCATTGTACCCAACGTTTTCCACTGTCTCATCCGTGTTTCTCCTGAAACCCAAAGGAAGCCTTTTACAGGCAATAAAATCAAGGACTCCAGATGCCCTGGGACTCATGGCCAGCAGGTGGCAGACCTAGCCAGACATGTGGTTATCGATCCTGCAGCTTACAGTACAAACACACTGGGCTAGAGCCAGCATCTCCCTCTGAGCAGCCAGACCGTGCTGTCCATAGAACCAGAGGCAGTGCTGTTGGACGAGCAGGTCTTAGAGTTTGGGGATGAGTGACCATGCCCTGAGGTAGAAGGCAGCAGATTCACAGTAGTCTCCCGCCAAAGCACCAGGCCAGACGTCTCAGAGCAGCACATGGTTGTCTAAGCTTTCCCATTACCCACAAAGAGGGACGCAGAAACATGCTGGATGGTGATTTGAATCCTATTCTATCTTGCACAGCCTACAGACCTGGGCCATTCTCTCCCATCCATGGACTTATTTGGACAACATACAGCGCCAGGGAGTGTGCAAGAGCAGATGACATGGGCTTAACATGGTCACCCAAGCCCTGGCATCTCAGGCTACAAGGCCGTTACTGCCATCCCATTTCCTTGGACGAGGGACTTACTGTCTCTTGGGGCCACCCTTTTGGACTCTCTAAACACTTGCAACTGTTGGGAAGTTCTTCCTGGCATTCAGCAACCTTTCTCCCTATGGCTTTCCCTAGTCCCTATAGAGCTAGCCAGCAGGTAGGCAGAAACAGCAAGAAGGAAGACACTGAACCACTGGCACCTGTAATATCTTCAGTTTGTTTCTGACCCCTACCTGCATCCTGATGGGAAGACTGTTGGATATTTGCTCTGACTCCTTTTTGACAACTCCTCCCAATTTATTAAATCTGGTCCTAAATGAAAGAAACAACTCCCCAGTCACACAACATCTCAGCAAGACTGTCACCCACGGTGTGATTCCACAAAACAAGAGCTACTTTGTCTGTGGGGGCCCCTGTGTTCTAGGGACAGGTACTTCATGCTGCCCTCCCAGAGCTGCAAACAACATCCCTATGCCAGTATGCCAAATAGCTGTCACCTCAAGTGCCAACTCCAAAGGTAATGGCTACCTGGCTCTGAAATGCTGCTGGCACTAATTTGCACTGAGTGCCAGGTGGACCCAGTGGTGGTACCAGCAGTGAGTTCTTGCCAGCCCATCTCACTTTCTTTATTCCGACCAAGCAACTACTGGATGAGCACACTGTACTCTCCACAGAGGTGGATGAGACATGAGTATCTGATCTGTTCATCCCTAACCACCTCCCAACCTCCATTAACATTGTCATCGGTAGTTTGGTTTCCCTTGTGGCTTTGGGGAATGCAGAAAGCCCAGGAACCAGTCACCTCCAAGTGCATCCAGGGCAGGAAAGGCTCAGAACGAAACCTAAGCCAGGTTTACTGCCCTCTGCTCGGCTCATGAAGGAGCCCCAGCTACATAGCATCCCTGCTGCTTTCCCCTCGCACTTAAAGGCTCGGTGGAGGTGGCCAAGGGCTAAGGTCCCATGTGACAGTCCCATAAGACAGCAGAGGCAAGTTTGGGGCTCTACCTGGCTGGAAAATGCGATTTTTGCTAGTATCAATAGACAGTGGCTAAAGCGCCACGATGTTCTTCCGCGACTCTAGGAAACAACCTAAAAATGGGATGGGGAAAGATAAACACAACTTTAGATTAAGGGCTGCATGGATGTCAGGAAGAGGTGAGAGACACAACACCGTGGATGAAATCCTAAGGGAGCTGTAGATCCAGGCCACCTGGGAGAAGTAAACTCTAGGTTTACCGAGGATTCTGTTCCTGCTCTCAGAAGCACTGCAGCCCCCGCTCCAACTGGGCCTCACTAAGCCAAGGACGCAACCCCTCCCGTAGTAAGGGGCCCTAGGCCCTTGAGAGTGGGAGAGCCCCCCAGACTCCAGATTAGGAAGACTGGGCTCCAATTTCCATCACCTAAAGCAAGTGAGAGCCTCTCTAAGCCTCAGTTTCCCATCTGTAAAAGAGGTCGCACCTGAACTCTCCCTCCTGGGTTGTGTGATTATAATTAGATGCAGATAGCAGGGACAGGAGCGCAGCGTCGGGCGAACAGCAGGCGCTGGAGGATACCTGCAAAATGAGAGTGGTGATGGAGACTACGCAGCCGGAGTCCGGGGAAGGGTCGCCGGCCGCGCTGGTCCCCGCTTGGGGCCCAACGGTCCGGGTACGTCCTCGAAAGGTGGCCGGGAGGGGGCAGCCCCGAGCCCCAGGCAGCCGCCGCAGCGTTCCAGGCAGGTGCTCTGGCCTCTGCTTCTCCGAGAGAGGGCCGGTCGTCGGCTGTGACTGACATTTCCTAGGCCCAATGGCAAGCCAG